TGCGAATATGTTCGGGAATGTTTGGTTCTGAATTTTTTATGTTTGATGGTTCTGAACTTGATATGTTTGATTCATGACATGATTGAGAAACTAATAAGTTAGGTGTCATTTGATTTATTGCTACTGGGTCTTCTATAATCAGTTGAGTATTAGAAATTTGTTCTTCTAATGTAGTTTTTTCTGTTTCTTCCGGCATTTATAGCATTAAGAAAAAAAGACAAAAATAATTTTTTTAATTGAGTAAGATTGATATTAATTGAATGCTGCTAAAGGAAATGAGCTTTCAAATTTATCATTTATTATTTATCGAATTCAGCCCTTTAAAAATCTTATAGTAACATATGCAGAACAAAAATCAACAACCAAATTGTAAAACTCAGTACGTAGTGCCTTATTTTAAGTTTCAGCAGTATACACTATTAAGTATATATATTATTCTTGGCGTATTAAGATTGATAAATTGAGAAATCATTACATAGCATTAATAAAGTGTATCCTATTAAAGGTTTTATAATTTATCGCCATAGCAATGTATCGCCAGTCTACGCGGAGTTTGAAATTTTGATGATTTGTAAGCAAAATTTCAAACTCCCATAGACTGAGTTCAAAATTTTGCTTACAAATCATCAAATTTCAAACTCCGCATAGACTGGCGATACATCGCTATGGCGATAAATTATAAAATCCTTTTATTAAAATCGATAATTTTAAAAATGTGCTGATTTCAATGTTTTACCTTCCGAAATTAAACCCATCATCTTTATTTCTATAAGGAGCGATTGTGATTTGCTCCGTATGGTGCAAGAAATACCTTCCGAATTAAACCCATAATCTTTATTACTATAAGGAGCGATTGTGATTTGCTCCGTATGGTGTAAGAAATTTAAAAACATTATTGTACGGGTCTTATGTGACAACCCGTGCTTTTTTCATTTACTTATTGGCACGGGATTGTTACGTAAGACACCGTACAATAAGATAGTTATTGTATGGTATGTTGAATACCCAATTACACACACGGGTTCATATTTAATCCCGTGCCTTCGGCACGGAATATGAACCCGTGTGTAACTGGGTTATTCATTACATACCCATACAATAACTATAATATACTGTCCGCACGCGTGTTCAAATTTGTTAACTTAATGTAACAAAATATGCATTTTCACGCGTTTGTGTAATGAGATGATCATCATATCAGATATGATATGCATATCTATGCATTTTCCTAGTACGTACGTAGCGATAAATTGGAATAAGAAATTAGCTAGTTGTGGTACAGCTATTGCAATGTATACAGTTTCCAATAGCAAAAATCTAATAATTATAAGTATCTTCTTTGTTTATCCTTACTATATTGAATTAGAGTTTAGAGATTTTCATTCCTCTATTAATATTATGTATTTTGCTGTACATTCATTTAACCTAAAATTTTATATATTTTAAATGAATCCTTTTATTTAGTCATATGTTATACTGCAAAAGGAAATCCGTTGTTATTAAGTTTATTACCCATAATGTTGGTTTTCATTGAGAAATTTTGTGTTAATGTTGATGTAACAGTTGAGAATAAAGTTATAAATTTATACACAACACAAAAATCTGTACCACTGTTTTTTATGTCTTACGGCCGCGTGATAGAAAAAAAAAACTTTAATAGGATTACATTTCATAGAGATATAAGATATATAAAAGCAAAGCAGGGACTTCACTCTTTATAGGAGCTTTGACTTTATAAAAATTTTGAAGTTTTTTGACTTTGTATAAGTTTTATATTTTCGCAGGTTTCGTGGGAGGTTTAATCTAACAACGTCGACCACATACAATTTTTGATTTACATAGTGCGACATACACCACAATGACTCGTTGCTAATTGATAATATATTGAATATAAGAATAAATTTTTATGTATTACATAAAAATATTTAGTCTAGTAAATATAGTATTGTCTATAAATTTTTATAAAATTCTTTGTTTTACTTTTTTCTTTCATGCTTTCAGTTTAATTTTTCAAGGTTGTAACATAAATTTTCAAGGTTGTAACAAGAAAACAAAGCCCTGATTAAATCATTTTAAATATTATGAAAATTCGATAATAAATTATATTTGACTATACCGAATTTATTTCTATTAATTTTCATTTCAGATTGCATTTTTTAACGTTACAACGAATGTGCTATTGTTATATGTATATTATGGGTTAAGGTCACGATCACTATGCTGTGGTAATCGTTTACATCGTGACACATGCCTTGTAACAAAGGATGAAAGATGTTCTTTATATTACTGTGTTAAATGTCAATCTATTTTATAAATTCGGGATTAACTATCTTTGAAAACTCGAATAAATTAATAATCTTTGTATACAATTTATGAAACTAGTTAAATAAATTTATTTATAATGAATTCATAATAAATGATGACAAATGATAAAAGTACATTTAGAATAAATATAGTGAATAAATTTTACATAAATATAAGGAATAAATTTACATAAAGAAATTTTTCGAAACAAAGAAAAAAAAAGTTTGAAATAAGATTTGTTAAACATTTACATGATTATAATATAAGAAAGTGTCCTCATGATGACTAATATTGACTGTTGAGTTATCAGAAAAGAAAATTTGTTGAACGTAGTTTTGTTGATTTGTATCAAGAAAAGAATTGTTCTCTAAAGAAAAGTCAATATTCATAAAAGTTTGAGGTTCAATAGTAGGTGTAGTAACTTGTAAATTTGGACTGCTAAAAGAAAGAACGTTATTATTAGCAGTCATAAATCCACAAGAAGATGAAGGTGAATGATGCAAAATATTTTCATTAGAATCAAATTTTTCGGTTTCGTAGCAGCCTTTTTTTATAGGATAAATTTTGATTAATCCAGGTAAAGGAGAGTTTTTCTTGTTACTTTTTTTTCGAATAATCGGTGGTGAATTTTTGATTTTCGACTTTTCAGACTTGTTTTTTTTTACAAAAGATTTACTTTCAGGATTATTAATATTATCATTTGCATTAGACTGCTTTTCATGTTGAGTTGAAGAACTCTTGGTCGTAGAAAAATCGAGAACATCGGAATTATAAATATTTTCTAAAATTTTAGAGTGGTCTTGACTACTTTTTTTAAGTTCATGATAAATTTTTCTCATTTCAACAATTTGTTCATTTGTTGTTTCTGGATTAATAATTTCCGAAAATATAAATTTTTCAAATTCATTTATATTTTTAGGAAAAGATATTTCGTTAATTAATCGTCTTAATTCTTTTTCGGCAAGCTCAAATCGTTCAAGTAATTGGCTAAGAATATGAAAATCAACAGTAGCTTTTGAATTTTCATGAACGTTTGGAGAGTTTGGAAGTCTACATTTTTCTTTCTCATCTTCAAACCAAGATATTGAACTATTCTCAAATACACCTTGTTGATTTGGAAGTAACTCCATTTGAATTATATTTTTTTAGAAAAAAAGTAAATATTTTAAAGTGGCAAGATTTTTAAACGAAATAAGGTTATTTCACAATGTATTAAATAACGCGATTAAGAATTTGATGTGCTTTTATAACATTTCTAAAATACTGAAGGCTTATTTTTGTTTAATGTTTATTTGTTTGTGTTCAATTATGATACGTATACGATTTATAATGACCAAGGCCGAACACATACACAACACCGAGCGCACTGTTTATGTGCCAAATTACACATATTCCATCTGATAGGGATCTACTAATAGATGAGGTATTCGTAGAAAAGATTCCAGAACCCTTTTTGTTTTTTTTAAAAAAAAAATACATGTAGGGAATATAAATAAAAAAAAAATAAATGCCAAAAATAAAAACATTATATATATATATATATATATATTAATCTATAACAGTATAAGGATATATAATAAATATAATACGTAGTTAAAAAAATTTGTTTTCTTCTTAATATTGTGAATTGTACAATTATTTTTTATATTTATGATACATATTGGCTAGATTAAATTTTAAATTTTAAATTTATTTTGAAAGTTTTTCTCATTTAGATTCGGTTATCGTATGATACGCTTATGCGACGTGAGATAACCGTGAGATAGCCGTGATAACAGTATGGTAACAGTATGATAAAGCCGTTACAACAATGCCTAACTAGTTAATCTTATCCTAAAGAGTAAGAATTGCTTTTTTACCACACTCTGCAGATGAACAAATTATTCTTAGTTAAATTCTATTTTAGTAACATTTTATTATAATATACTATCCACAATATAATTTTCTACTGTGACTTGACTATTTACTGAAAATCATTTTTACAATAATAGTGCTAAATATAAAATACGTAAGCTCTATGTTAAATAAATAGCAAATTACTTTAATAAGCGTCGGATATCGTTCGGAACTAATGAATATGATTTATGTCAAAAGATTCGGATTTTGTAGATCTTTCAAGTGAATAACTTTTTATCCCCCATTCAAATGTCTATTTAAATGCCAAAAAACAGAAACCGTTACATTTTACCGGTAATATATATAAATAATGATAAATTCAGTTATAGTAATAAATATGCTGAATTGTTTATTTCCGAAAATCAATTTTAGTCCGCCCGCAATTATGAAAACAGTGCGATCTTCATTTCGTCATTGACAAATAAAACATAAAAAATATGATCCTGAAGAAATTTAAAATTATTCATTTCGAATTAATTCTCTTAATACAAGTTTACATATTTCTTATTTAAAAACTTGTTAAATCGGAACGTCAGTTATAGTAACAGTTAAAGTTATTCTTATCTTCTTAAATTACTGTCATTAGATTCATGGAACACCATATGATCTGTTTTGAAGTTTATTAGTTTAACGCATAATCAGAAAGTAGGGTTTATTGGTTGAGATCACTTAAATTACAATTATTAAATATCATTATACATATTTTGGTCGCGGATAATTCCGTATAATTCCGTTATTATTATTGCTATTATTATTATTATTATTTATTTGAATATCCAATAAAATAGTGTCACATTTCATATTATGTTAATAAAATAACGATCCTTCTTTATTAAAATCATTATTCCTTAAGCAGCTATCTAAGGCAATGAAACATGCAAGATGAGATTAAAGTCTTTATCAATGTACTATAACATTACACTAAATCATTTCAAAACTCAATTTTTGAGTTTTAGGTATGTAGCAATCATGAATATTGTGTCAAGAAATAACACGCCCAAAATGCCAAGGAAATTTGCGGTGAAGTAACTCCGAGTTAACTATATAATTATATACTTGGATGCAACGTACGTTCAATATTCACTAATTTTGTACAAATTAATTCATAATTCGATTTCATTTCTTCGTTATCATTGTTATGATTTTGATTATAATTGTAAATACTTGTAGAATAAGAGAGCTACGTGATTATTATAAAGCTATATTGTAAAATTATCTTCTGAAATACTGATCAATTCGATCAAAAAAGAATAATCAAGTTTCATTTACGTTAAACAAAGTTTTTTTTTTTTGTTGTTTATATTGGTACTATAGTTATAATTTTTAAATTAAAAATTGTACAAATACTTTTAAATTTATATATTTCAAATACTTTTAAATATAATTTATATTTTATATTCATTGCATTTTTAATTCATTTTCTTTATACTATTATATCATCATCCTTTTTTAAAAAAATGACTTTTTAAAATTCCGCTCTTCTTAATACGTATTATCGGAATTTCCGTTCTTCTTAATACGTATTATCGGAATTTTACTTCTTAAAATAAAAAAGGTTATGTGTTCTTTATTATTTAAAAAAGGAATATCATTATCAAAATTTTATTTGTATTACAAATTATAGTACAAGTAAATAATAAACAAACTTAACGCGTTTATGATCTTAATTCTAATTAACCAATATTAACCATTTAATTTTCGTTTTTGTTGATCATTTCTGTTTTAATATATTTCATTATTTAATACTTTACTATGATCAGTTTATAAAATAAATCAATTATTTTATGGTATTTTTAAATGATAAAATAATT